GCCTTGGCCACTCTTGTAAGTTTAGGTCATAGATTATATGTCTGAGTCTTTATTCTTCATATGTAATTTAAAAACAAGCTTTTCTTTGTAAAAACTTCAATTAAATTTCAATAAAATTAAAAGCATAGCCTTACTATTAATATTTAAAAAAAAAAAAAATAATATTGTTATTAATATAATATTTTTCTATAACTTATTGTTAGAAAAAATATAAAAAGATAAAAATCTAAACTATATAATAAAACAACAAACCAGAAAGATATGCAATGCAATAATATTATAAAATATTACTAAATAGTAATTACATATATAGATGATATAATATGAATTATAAATAATAAAAAATAGCTATGAGATTTTAGAAATATCTAAAGAGATTTTCAAGATAAATGATATAAAGATAAATAGATCTAAATTAAAACTACTAATAATAAATACAAAAATTAGAAAAGAAGAAAGAAAAGTAGTATTTGAAAAATACAAAATAATAGAAAAACTAAAAATAAGATAGTTTATTTACTAGAAATATGCTAAATAATAGAATATAAGAAGTACTAATAAAGAATAAAGCAAAAGACATAATAAGTCAAACAATAAAAAATTTTAAGTACAAAGAGATATAAACAACATGATAATAATACTAAAACTAAGCTATATATTAAACTAATAAAGATGTTAGAAAAAAGAATAAATAAAATATATTAATTGATAATATATTTAACAAAGCAAAAGAGTAACTTGCAAAAAATATTAAAAAATTGTATAGTAAAATATAAAAATTTTGGTAGTTATAGAACACTTTAACAAAAGTTAGTAATAAAGTAAATAGGTAGCTTACTAGCAAAACTAAATATACAAAACAGTCTTGAACATATAATAAAACTAAAAAAAATACAAGGCTACCAAAGAGCGAATTTAACAAAAAATATATAAAAACTAAAATAAATGTCAGAAACTAAAGCATATTGAAAAATAACTTAGCTTGTCTAAAATATAAAAGCAAAAAAAAACTAAAAATTAATATAAAAACAGAAAACAATTTATAGACAATGCTTGTTCATAGCATCAAAATATAAGAGCTTTTGGAAGCATATTTATAAAAAAAGATAAAATTAAAATAAATAAAACAGCTTAATATATCTAAACCAGTTGCTTAATATAAGTAAAAAAAGTTAACTATATAGTAACAATTAAAAAATTATTAAGATCAGTTAAACAAAAAAGAAAAACCAGAATAGTTTAGAATAATAAATTTAAAAGTGCTTAGTAAATCAAAAAACAAAGAAGTTAAAAGACACTTTAGAATAAATAAACAAAATACTTAAGCAATGCAAGTTAAATAAAAGCATATATCAAAAAACAGAAGAAAAAAAGAATAAATAATATATAATGTATAAAACTATAAATAGCTAGAAAGAATAATTAAAAGAAAAAGAAAAAAGTATTAGTAGAATATTGGCAAATGCAAAATAGAAAAGATAAACTAGCAACTAAGATTAAAAGATATAATAATTGTATAAAAAAAAAACAGACAAAAGGTAGTTGCTAATAATAGATAAAAATAACAACAAGATTAATATATTTCAGACATATTAATAAAAAAAAGCAGCAACAAGATTAAAATAACAATAGATTAAATAACAAAGAAGATAAAGGCAAACAGCTTAAAAACAAAAAAATGAAAACTTAAAGATCTATAATACTAAAAAAATAAAAGTAGAAATAGCTAAGTAACAAAAAATTAAAAAATAATATTATTTAAAAAATAATAAAAATTTTAAGTAAAAAATATAACAAGAAGTAAAATTAAGTATATTATATATATAGATAATGCAGTAAATATAAAAACCAAAAAAGTAGAAAATGGTGATCCTAGTATAGTGATTGGGTTGTTATTCTTTAAGTGGCAGGTCTAAGGTTCAAATCCCATCTATAACAAAATTTGAAAATTATATCTGCATTATAGTAACTGTTTCCTATCAATCGATTGGCCTTATGTAGCTGTAATTCAGGTATGCCAAGTCAGGTCCTATTGACATTAAAAGTTTGAAGCATTTATGTGAAATATAACATTACACATATATAGAGGAATGTATAACTGGTGTTGCATAAAACTTTGATGCAAACCCATGATAAGACCACTAAGCATAGAAGACTAATAAACTGAGGTGACAGAAACCCACTTAACAATTTCCAAATAAAGAGATAGCATGAACTTTCAATAGTATCATCAGATTGATTAAAGCTTACAAAACAGCTTCATAGGAACTGAAGATTAAACCAGATGTCAAATATATGTAAAGAAGCATATAACCAACCAAGCCATCAGATTCACTAAAAAAAAAGGATACAGAAATATAATATATTAGGCATCTAAATTGGTAGTCTGAAAGAGACTGCTGGTTCCAAGTTGTGACTAGTAGGAGATGATAAAGAAAATGCTAAGAAGATAGGTACTGGGGTTCTAGTAAACTTTACAAAAGTAGAAATAGTATAACATAGCAGTTAAACAGGTAATTCCTATAACTGCAAGTGTTAGGTAACTATAGCATGTTGCATAAAACTAGGTCTATATGTGTAGAACATAAAGGCTCTTGTAAGTTTCCTATTAAAAATAAAGTAGTCCTAAGGATAATAATCAGCATCAAGAACTTAAATAGGTATAGCTTTGAGATGTTCTTGTGATACAAGGAGGATTGCATATGCAGAGAGCTTAAATAGGCAAAACCTCTAGTTGGCTTGCAGATATAGCAACTAGTGTAGAACTTATATAGCAATGTGTAAGTGAATTACTTAAATTAGACACCAAAAGTGCATGTGTAGCAAGTTGTAATCTCCAATGTATAGGTAGCCTCTGGAGGCATATCATATCCTATAATACTTGAATATAAATGTCACATCCCCAAGACAAGAACTTTAATTATAAAAAAAATAAAATAAGAATAAAAAAATAAAAACCAAAAAAAAAGTATGTAGTAACTTAGTAAAGTAAATAAGTTGTTAACTTTTCAAGTAGTAAGTTTAATGTTTAAACTTTATCAACAGCAAAAATTTGAACAATTATCTATATAATATTCATTTTATAACAACTGTTTTCAATAATTAGATTAAGATACTTGTAATTAAAATTATATTAGTATAACTAACAGATTATGATATATTTGTATAACTAATTATACAAAGAAATGCAAACTGGCATTGGGGTAATGCAAACTTTAGATAAGTCCTTATAGTTATATAAATTTGTAAAAATTAAAAAACAAAAAGTTTATTTAAAAAAATCTAAGCAAAGAGCTAGTATAAATTTTTAATAATACTATTGTAAAGACTAGTTTTATAAAATGAATATTAATATAAAAAAGCTAGATGGATAAAAATCTTTGAATAGAAATATTACCAACCAGGCTGCCAGAATTTAACCAAAAGAAAAAATATTAGATTAATCTAATATACTAATAAACTAATTATAATTCTATTAGACTATCTGAATTAGAAGTCTAAAAACAATGCAAGTATATATTAAAATATTTCAGATATGCTATAAAGTAGTATTAGAGTTCAAGTAAACTCTGTAAGGATCTAACAATTTAATAACTAGTTCTGATCACAAATATTAGTTCTGATATAGTAAGATTAGATTAATTATAAAAATAAATACAGAAGGCTCTGAGAAGTTTACTTTAAAGATAAAATAATTCTAAGATTAAAATAATAATTTAAGCATAACCTAATAATGTTAATACAGATTACAGATTTAGAAATTTAAAATAGAATATCTAAGCAGAAGTTTTAAATATAGCAATTGGTAAAGAACCTTTGGGCAAATTTCTTAATTAAATAATATAAAAATGTTATACATATAGAAGAATCAAAGACATAAATCATATGCTTAATACTAATGATAAAAATCTTGCAAACCTTGTCTCTTTTATAAGTTGAAATAATTATAAAACAAATTTTGAAAAAGTAGTAAATAATAGTAAATATTATTTAAATAGAATATCTGAAACCAATTATAAAAAGTTGCAAGTAGAATAACAAATAAAAACTTGTCTAAAATATAAAAAAGCAATAGACTATTATATAGTTCATCTATTATCTATTATCTATTACTATCTATTAAAGGAGTATCATATGCCAAGCATCCTTTAAAATTACGTTTTTGATGCCTGTTATGCTAAAAACATTTTATTTGTGCATATATATAAATATATATAAATATAACTACAAGTGGATGTCTGTTAGGGTTACTTATTGATGCTGGCATATCTAGAAATATGAATCGTGTTATTATTATATACGTACATACATATGTACCAATATGAGATAACCAAGATTTTTGAACATATATATTAAGGTGGCTTGGGCATGTATGGCTTACATTGTACAGTACATATGCAAATCTGTACATATGTACAGAATGCCTAGTTAACACTTACTTACTTTTGATTAGCCATGCGCATGTGTTTGTACGTGTTGATATGCTCTATGTACCAAAAATAGATTATGCCTCTAAATGATGTTGAGATTGTAAATATCATGTTGTGGTTATAAACAAAATGATTTTATTGTAATTAAATTATATTACACATTCTAAAATTTTGTTTTTTTTAAAGAAAAAAAATCATGTTCATAGTAGATTGAGTTGATATTTTACCAGGCCAAGAGTAAAAATCATAGTAATAAATAGACTTGACTTAATATAAATTTAATAATAAAATTCGATTTAAATATCGACTTCAAAATTCAAAATTGACCTCAATAAATCAAACTTAACACATTAATAATAATAATAATTAAAGTTTTAAATAAATTATGTATTAAACTACAGATATTCATACTTATACTCGTAATAATAATCTAACAATTGCTCTGCTTTTAAAATCTGACAATTGCTCTGATTTTCAAATATATATCAATTGCTCTGATTTCAAAAATTTTAATAACAAGAAATTTTAATAACAAGAAATACAATTTTCCAAATAATCAATACTGTCATAATGCCTCCAGTAGAAATAAAATCTAACCACTGAGCTACCTATAATAAAAATGCTAGAAAATGTTGGTCTGAACAAACTGCCGAACAGAAAATAGCATGGAATAAAAAAATAAGAGAGTGTAGGGAATCACAAACCTTAGAAGAACAGTTTAATAAACAATTAGACTGTAGAAGGAAGGACAAAAGTTCACATTGTAATTTACTTTGTTTTGAACAAAGACATGTAATAGATGATATGATTCATGCTTGCCATTACTGTGGTGCAAGGTTTTGGCTAGAAGAAAAATCATCGGGCAATAAAACCTGTCCAATATTTACTACCTGCTGTAATAAAGTCAGCATGGTCTTACCTTCTATGCATCTACCTCCGGATGTTCTTATACAATTGCTCACATCACTCACATCAGAAAGCCAAGAATTTCATAAAAATATACGAGCCTATAATTCAGCTTTTGCATTTTCTTTCTTAGGTGTTTATATAGATAAATCCATCACAGGACAATGAGATATCAAATAATATGTTATATTTATGTTATTAATTAATATAATATTATAGTAAATTAAATTAGATTTAAATATACGCTTCTGTAGGTATATATAATTTTCACATACATGGTGAACTATATCACTCTATTGGAGGTCTTCTACCATCAGATTCTTCTGAACATCCATGCTTTGCGCAACTATACATTTATGACACAGACCATGAAACACAGAATCGATTGAATATTATGCCATCTTTAAATCCAATCATTATAGAAGAATTAGCTCAAATGTTAAATTTAGTAAATCCATATGTTTTGATCTTCAGGCAGGTCTGTGACATATATGTTAGCAATCCTACAATATTACTAAAACTTATCATTAAAGTGAATGGGTCTAAGGACCCACGTCGTTACAATGCTCCAACTGCTTCTGAAGTAGCAGCTATTATAATCAGTAATGAAAACACTAATGCTTTATGTAATCGAAACATTATTCTTCACAAGCATGAAGGCTCTTTACATCATATTTTCGAATTAAATAAAGCATATTTATCTTTGCAATATCTGCTAATTTTTTCACATGGAGAGGATGGATGGCATTCGGGAATACCTATATATAGAAGCATTAATGAAAATAGAGTAACTACAGAAATACGTGATGGCTATACTAACGAAGCATGTTCAAAAACCATAACTCAGAGACAATATTTTGCATATCTTTTGCAATGGCATCCATTGATCTCTCATGCTCTCCATTATACTGGTCGTTTTTTTCAGCAATTCATTGTAGATGCATATGTCACTATTGAACAGAGCCGCCTTAATTGGGTTTCTCAAAATCAAATACAGATTCGTGCAGAATTATATCAAGGTATGTAAATTTTCTTTACCCTATTAATATAATTAATATAATATAATTACAGCATATCATATTTTGTATTATGCTATTTGTAGGCTTGCAAGATGCTGTTGCCAATACGGATGGAAATATGCAGTGTTCAATGATTAGTCAACACATAGTTCTTCCAGCGAGCTTTACTGGTGGACCCTGTCATATGCATTAATTATATCAAGATTTAATGGCTATATGTCATTACTGGGGAAAACCGGACATATTTCTTACATTCACATATAACCTATGATGGCCTGAAATCACTGCATCCTTGCTTCCTGGTCAAAAAGCAGAAGACCATCCAGACATTGTATCATGTGTATTTCACTTAAAATTAAAAAGCTTAATCAGAGACATTACAGAATATAATTTTTTTGGTAAAGTAGTAGCATATATTTATGTAGTAGAATTTCAAAAAAGAGGATTACCCTATGTTTATATTCTCCTGATTTTACACCCTGATGATAAATTCTGCACCACTTCTGATTATAATAAATTCATTTCAGCCGAAATTCCTGATGAAGATGATGCCTTAGCATATAAAACTGTTACAAATTTTATGATACATGGACCATGTGGTGTGTATAAACCGAATGCTCTGTGCATGAAAAATTATAAATGCTTAAAAAATTATCCAAAGCCTTTCTGTTCCTCAACAACAGAAGGCAATGACAGTTACCTGATCTATAGAAGACATGAAGATAATAAAACTATAATAGTAAACAAAAAAACATTAAATAATCAATGGGTAGTACCACACTGTAGAGCCCTCTGTGTTAAATATAATGCACATATAAATGTTGAAATTTGCTCTTCTATAACTGCTGTCAAATATCTTTATAAATACGTATACAAAGGTCATGACCATGCAACAATTGAAATATTATCAGTTTCTAAAGATAAAGCTACAATACCTCTAATAGATAAATTAAAACTGTACCAGGATGCTCGATATATATCTGCGTCTGAAGTGATCTGGAGAATATTTCAATTCACCTTGCATGAAGAAAAACCTAACATTTAATGATTACAAATTCACCTCCTGGATCAACATTATGTTACTTTTCGAGATAATGAAATACCCACCAATGTTTTACAATGAACCAATGTAGAAAAAACAACTCTTACTGAGTGGTTTATAACAAATAATGATCTAAATTACAAACATGTTGCAAATAACCTCATCTATTCTGACTTTCCCACTAAATTTGTGTGGGATTCTAAGTTAAAAAAATGGAAGCCTCACAAAAAAGGAAGTGCTATTGGTTGCATATACTTTGTCCAACCTTTAGCAGATGAAAAATACTTTCTTCACATGTTGCTTAATATTATAAAAGGTGCTACTTCTTTTGAGAATCTTCGTACTATAAATAGAATTATATATAATACATTCAAAGAAGCTTGTGATGCATTGGAGCTTCTTCAGAATGACAATGAATAGGATGAATGCCTAAAAGAAGCCTTCATGCTTCAATCAGGCTCGCAATTGTGATATTTGTTTGCAACTATTCTTCTGTTTTGTGGACCCGTTCGCCCTGACACCCTTTGGAATAATCATATAAATGCATTAACAGATGACATCTTACATTGTTCACGTCATACTACTAATAATTCTTCTTATAATTCTATTAAGGATGTTGAAAACTATGCATTATTATATTTACAAAGTATTCTTCATGTTTAAGGTTATTCTCTTGATGAATTCCCATCTATACCTTTGCCATATAATGTTCCTGAAGAACTGAATCAACTTATTCATGAAGAGCTTGATTACAATATACATTTTCTTACTAGGTTTTGTGAAATTAATGAAAATAATTTGAATCAAGACTAGTATAAAATATTTTCTGCAGTTATTGAAGCCATTGTTGATAAATACAATAAATGTTTCTTCATTGATGGTCCCGGTGGCTCTAGGAAAACATTCTTATATTCTGTTCTTCTTGCATGAGTATGAAAACAGAGCCTAATTGCTTTAGCAGTTGCTTCTTTGGGTATTGCTGCTCTACTTCTTAAAGGAGGTTGAACAGCACATTCATAACTGAAAATTCCTATTAATCTTAATGAAAATTCTGCCTGTGCTATTTCTCACAATTTACAATTAGCATGTCTTGTGCAACGTGCAACTTTAATCATATGGAATGAAGCATCAATGACACATTGTTATGCACTTGAAGCCATAGATCGATCACTACATGATACTATGAAAGCTGTTGATATCACATTAGAAAAAATTCTCTTTGGTAGAAAAATATTTGTCTTTGGTGGTGATTTCAGACAAATCTTACCTGTAATTCCAAAGGATGGTCATGAAGAAACAGTTTCTGCATGCATCTATAAATCTCCACTGTGGTCACATATTACAATAATGAATCTAACGATTAATATGCATCTTCAACATACCATAAACAAATCTAATTTTGACATGAGATCTGAATTCTCTGACTGGCTTCTTAAGATTGGAAAAGGGCGTGAACTTACTATTAGTAATACTGATAATATTATTAATCTCTCTTCTAATATAGTTCTATGTTTTACTTTATTATTGGATCTCATAACCACTATATATCCAAATTTAGATATGTTTTTTTCTAACCCTAAAATGTTACTCAAACAAGCAATCTTGGTTTCCCAAATAAGCATGTTGTTGAAATTAATAACACTATCTTAAATTCTTTTCCTGAGATTAATTATCCCTGTCTTAGCGCTGATAGTTTAGACCTTGCTTCAACAACTTCGGCTCAAATGAATCTCTTTCTGGTAGAATTTCTAAATATATTAACCTTGTCAGAATTTCCATCACACAACCTTAATCTCAAAATTGGCTCCCCTATTATGTTACTGCACAATATCAATCAAACACAAGGTTTGTGCAATGGAACATGTCTAATTTGCAAAGCAGTTCACAAACACGTATTAGAAGTGGAAATTTTAGAAGGCCCACATGCTCATACTCGAGTCTTACTCTCCTGTATATCATTCTTACCAAACAACAATGAACTACCTTTTATATTCATTCGAAGACAATTTCCTGTAGTGCCTGCATTTGCTATGACTATTAACAAAAGTCAAAGGCAAACTTTAGATTCTGTTGGCATCTACCTACATGATCCAGTATTTTCACATGATCAATTGTATATTGCACTATCTTGGGTCACAAACCCGAAAAATTTATTTGTTTTATTACCTTCTTTTGATGAAAATAATAAGACATATCACACTAAAAATGTAGTATATCCTGAAGTACTTAATCTGAACCTATAAAATTATATTGGCTAAATATCTTATTTATTATATTATAAAACCTTTTATCATTTTAAATTCAATACCTTAATCTTTGTTCTAATATATATTGTCTATTCTTATTACTATAGATACGAATAAAATTAAACATGTCTTATACTCTAGACATCATATTAACATTTTATATCAATACATTTTGCTTATTCCTGATTCATATTCATTTAACTAATATCATCGTTCATAAATTTAAAAATAAAGATACATTATTGCAAAACTTATTATTTATATAACAATAATTTGTACATCATTTTAATCTAAACTGACTTGAAATGTTGTGATTTACACGATTTAGCTCGCATAAGCTATTTAAGATATAATAAACTCTAAAACATTATCTTTTTTTAAATTACATTTACCAACTAAAGCTACACTTTACTCACATTAATTTAAACTCATTATTCAATATTGATAATTATCACATAAGACAACAAACATAACTATAGCACAAATATGTGTCATGAACCTTAATAACTACAATGTCTCAATACAAACATAAATGTTGTATTTATTTTTCTATTATTTTATTATTTTATTTTCTATCTATTTTCTATTTTCTATTTTTATTATTTTATTTAGAGCAAAGTAAAAGAACTAACCATTTATCTGTCTTTATATATATTCACTAAATTTAACTACAAATGATTATATCATAAATCATATAAATATTACTTTTCATTCTTATTCGTTCTTTGTATATTGAATCGTTAATTACCCTCCAATCAACAAATTACTCATAATCTATGATCGCAATCAAACCACGTGAACTTAAGATAATGCTTAAGGCTAGAAATAAGTATTATACATAAATATATACATATGTTTATATATACTTTTTTTTTTAATAACCACTAATTCTTTCCTCAAAATAAATATTATTCAATTATTACACAACATATCTGAAGCACCATTCTTTACCATAAAACTGACGATACTACTTATCCAATTACTCGATTAGGATAGCTGCACAACACATGGTACTGCACAAACCAGTAAGATCAAATCAACACACATTAGTTTAGTCCTAGTTTTATAGCATTTTTTTATTTATTTAATCAAATATAACATGATTATTAATAATATTTAAAAAATAACAAGAAGTTCATCATATTTAAGGATGGGACTAAAGATAAGAAAATCAAGGATTTTTCAAATTTACTATACAATATAATCAAACAATTATCGATTTTTCTATTCCTAATCATATTACTGTACTTTACCTTATAATTTTATCTAAAGTTCTTAGATTTGTTTATCTCAAAACTACTACTGTTTTTTATGTGTTTTAGATCTGTAAAATCTGTTTTTTTTTTTGAAGACTTTGCACCATTTGTTAAACACAAACAATTAATTCAGACTTTAATATATAAAAACAAGTTACTCTAATCATTGATTAGATAAACAGATCTTTATTTGACTCTTATTTTTAATACAAAAAAATTTCATATTATCATTGAATACAACTTATACATTTGATCATTATTATGCACTTCTTTTCACTAACATAATCATTCACTATCATTATCGATAGCATCAACCTTTAAATTAGAAGATTTTCTGGTATTATATATTACAGTTCGAACTGTACAATCTTTACCCTTTTTGCAGCTACCTCCCGAATTTTTTTTATTTTTATTGCTTTTGTTCTTAACCTCATTCTTTTCATCAATATCAATTCCATTTTTCAACCCATCATCAATGCTAATATTATCATCAATGTTAGAATCATCATCATTTTTACCTACAAACATGTCTTTAACAGTTCCATCTATATCTTCAACAGTTCCATCTACATCTTCAACAATTCCATTTATATTTTCAACTTTAATGCGCTATAAATAAAAATTATTTAATTACAGATCTTCCTATCTTTGTACAATATTTCTTTAAATATTTATATACCAAACCTTAGATCTTTCTTCTGCTTCAACTTCTTTAAAAATACTCTGATGAACAGATAGAAGCTTGGATCTAGCTGAATTTGTTGTTAACAATGAAATTTGTTCATTGTTAATATTATATTCTTTTTTCTTAGAATTAAATCGAGTATCAACCCAATTAACTTCTTGGCCAAAAACATACAGAACATTTTCTATGATTTCCATCTGACCAACAACAAAAATTATTGATTCTCTTGGACAAATAAGACTGACCAACCCCTTAAAATGTGAATCCAAATAGCGAAAAACAATGGTAACAAAAAAACTATAATCTCGACAAAAGTAATCTGTCACCAAAACTTTGATAACAGCATCTTCATTATTTTTAAATTCGGGAACCTCTTCGATAATTCCAACCAAAGAAACTTTTAGAGGACACTTGTTTGATGCTAGGACCTTACTAAGTATCTTAAGATAAGTCGATGTTGAAACCGTCATCTAAATTTGAAATTAAAAAATAAAATATTTCTATTAAATAAAAATAAAAACTCAAAAGTTTCAATTCTCAGATATTTATTTTATAAAACATAATATAAATTTATTATAATATAAAATAAATATTTGAAAATTAAAACTTCTTAACTTACTCTTAATAATGCTTATGTTAATTACCCTTGGTCTAAAATTTTTATTATAATAATCAGGTACGATTTTGCCTCCAACAGAAAAATATTCGTCTCTCTCAAAAATTGCTTGCATTGCTGGATCTCTTTCCTCTGTTTTAACTGGTACAAACAAAATTAATTCAATTTCACAATCTTCGATTCCAACAAGATAGACGCCAATGGCCCATACTACTAACAACTTTTCCTTTATAGTCTCTTTGGTAACCTTAATTTTTACAATACTATCCGCATTACAAGGCATAATTAAAAATTAAGAAATATTATAATTTATAATTGGGTATATTTATTTATCTTCTACTTATTTTATTTATAGTTTTTTTTTTTCTTACTAATTATAATTATTATTAATTAATTATTCACCAATTATCTTATATAAAACCCTTATATATATATTTTTTTAAAAAATAAAAATTAACAATTCCTAAATTTTCATGTATAATCTATAAGCTTACAACTTGTACAATTTAGAATCTAATAAAACTCTACATCTATTTCTATGCTAATGAACACATCAAACCTTCACGTATATATATATATACATGCATATGTGCATTTACGAACAAACACCATATAACATACATCCATATGCACATGTACTATTTAAACTGACTATAACAACTTAGCCACATTAACAGACCAATACAATTAAATCGACTAAATAATACATCTACTTATTATTTTATAAATAAGAAAACATATGAGCATCAAGAAAAACAAATTTCTCAGTTAAGCAAATTTCCTGTCATATTTTTGATTAAAATTTGTTTAGAATCTGCATAATCATTAGGGTTAGATCAATTCTAAGAAGACCGCTTAAGGACCGATCTTTTTGACTACTTATATGGTCTTCAATTTTCAGTTTTTTAATCGGCTCAGACTGGTTAATGATAAACTATTAAAATAAACCTATAAACTATTAAAATAAGCTTTTAAATCGTTAAAAAAAAACAATAAATTTTTAAGTAATTAAAAAAACATTATTATATAATTTTTATTTCATTAATGATAACTAGAATTATTTTTGAGACCAGAGGACCGAACCGATAGGGCCAATAAATACTATTAAAACCAGTCTTATTAGAGACCGGAATGGACCGGACAGACCAATCCAACCTTAATAATCATATTGTAATTACTTTAACAATAACAATAACCATTAATTACCCAATTTACAATTTTCTTTCATATAAGCCAATATTCAATAATGTACAATAACTTGCATCAACTGTTTATTTACCCACTGCTAACTTGCTTAAATAAGATAGGTGGCACATAAGCATCACCTGTCATGCTAGTGTTTATAATAAAGTTTAAAGAAGTGTGATGATCTAGTAAAGTGAATAGGTTGTTAACTTCTAAATGGCAGTTCTAAGGTTTAATTCTTACAGATAATGAATTTTGAAAATTATATCTGTATTATAGCAACTGTCTTTTGTTAATCAGTTGAATTTATGCATCTGTAATCTTAGTTATATTAGGTCAGAGTTTATATAATTTTTGGAAGCTTAGAACATCTATGTAAAATATAATATTATATATATATAGAGGAATATAAAAAACTAATGTTGCATAAAGCTTTAGTGCAAACCTGTAGATGTAAAAGACTAAAAACTAAAGAGATGGAAGCCCATTTGGAAATTCTGAGTAAAAAGATAGCACAAACTTTTAATAGTGCTATTGAACTGATAGAAGCTTATAAAACACCTTTATAAAAATTGTTAAATAAGCTAGATAACAAAATGTATAGAGAAGCACATAACCAACCAGACTGTCAGAATCACTAAAGAAAAAGAATATATAAGTATACCATATTAGGCTATCTGGATTGGAAGTCTGAAGAGTCTGTTAGTTCTAAGTTGCAGTTAGTAGAGAATGATGAAAAAGACATCAAAAAAATAGATATCAGGGTTTGGATAAATTTTACAAAAATAAAAGTGATTTAATAAATAACTTTAACTACAAGTATTAGTCTTAGTTATAGTGTTAACCAGATTAGTAATAAAAAAAAATATGGCTTGCTCTAATAGATTATTTTAAGAATAAAAATAGTCTAAGAATTATAGTCCTAAGGTTGAGATAAAGAGATCTGGATTAAGTGACCTAGTGATATTAATATCAAGGTCAAATCAAAAAGTTTAAATAGAACACCTAATCAGAGATGTTAAGTATAGCAATTAGTAGAAAACTTCTAAGTAAACTTCTTAAATAGATAATATAGAAAAGTTATATATATAGCTAGTTGTACACTTATTTGATGAACTTATGTTTATATAAACATATGTCTAATATAAGTATTAATAAAAAGACCAAAGAGGTTACCTTAATACTAAAAAAAAAAGCTTTAAAGATCTTTTAGAGTAATAAATAGTTATTATTATAATTATTATAATTATAATTATATTATTTTATATTTTTATTTCTTTATTCTATATAAATCAGATTAAAAAGATTTTGCAGCTTATTGATGAAGTTGAGAAAAAATTTTGCATATTAAATATATCAGAAAAGATAATATAATAATAGTAGATAATATAATAGATTTAAACCACTAATTAATGTATCTGTTTGAACTATTTTTTCTTCTTATCATTTTGTAAAAAAAAAAAAGAGAACAAATTAAAAGGAAAAAAAGATGACAAAATGTTGCTGCTAGCAGCAACAAAGCTGCTAATAATATTAAAAATATTAATAAAAGAACTAAAGAAAATAATAATAATACTGGTATTAAAATTTAAAACAATTAATTTTAAAATATTAATGCTATTTTTAAAATTTTTAAATTAATAATATAGCATTTTTGATTTATATCTTTATTATATATTACTATATAAATTATTACTTTTAGCATATTTTAGCATAACAATATAATTATATATATAATAAAAATTATACTATATATAGTGTTAACCTGTAGTTTTTCCTTTAACCACAGTAATAACAAAAGCTGCTCAACTATAGTATGATGACTATAACTTGAC